CTCTCTCTCTCTCTCTCTCTCTCTCTCTCTCTCTCTCTCTCTCTCTCTCTCTCTCTCTTTATATCCTAGCCTTGGTCAGAGACAGTGCATGTATCGGCGACCTGCTGCCTTCCTCAGTAAAATAAATGAGGAAGAAGACAAGCCGACTACCTTTAGATCATTCACATGAGAGTTAGAATAAGAGGATCTTCCACAAGGAATTACTCGACCACACGCTCTTACCACCTCCGCCCACCTTCTTGTCGTCTCCTTGTGTGAGGAACATGGTGGAGTCCAAGCTGGTCTTACTGATTTGGACCGAGACCTTCTCTAAGTTGTATTCTTCTCAGGCAGACTGAGCTTCGGTTCGAGGAATAAGGTCAATCAAACAACTTTGACTAGTACCAATACACCTTGAGAAGGGAGCAACCCTAAGGATACTACTATATGTTGTATTAAATGGGTTTTAGTTTGGGAGCATGCATGAATTGTGGAGACTAAATTAGAAGAGATTTGATGGAAACAAAGTTTACATTTACCTCTTCCATTATCTTTTGCCTCTCTTGTCTTTTTCATAATATATATTTTAAATATAACTTCATCCTTTATCTCTCTCTCTCTCTCTATTGTTGAGAGATTTGGGTTGGTTAGATCTATGTGTGAGCGTAATATTGTTTATTTAATGTAATAAAAATATATTTGTTTAATTTTTAAATTAAAAATAATATCTATAATAAATTAATCTTGTCCAAATATGGTATCTATTAAATGTTTCTTTTAGATATGCTCATGTAATCTGAAATCATACTTTTCTTAATTTTCTGACAACTTCTTTAACCCAGCATAAAAAAGAAAGGTAATTCAAGTGTATAATTGGAGATCTATCAATAATATATAAGTTTTGTCTTACCTGAAAATAAAAACAAAAGGGTGTGTGATTCATCCTCTATGTGTGTTGGAGTTAAAAAGTTGTGGTGGCTTTGTGTGTAATACATGCAATGAGACAAATGCTTGTGCATTATGAGGAGATGAGAAGCATATAGTGTGGTCCCTTATATCACTTTTGCAAGCAGTGGCAGCTAAGTATAAGGGAAGGTCCAAATTGGATCGGCACTGTGACAGATATGGCCTCGTGATCCATCATCTCCCAATTATTGAGAGAGAGAGAGAGAGAGAGAGAGAGAGAGAGAGGTTGGATGTTTGCTTCTCGTTCCTTTTCTTGGGAGTGCTGGAGAGAGAATCTGAATCGTGAAGGCCAAAAGGCAATGTGAAGAAGACAAGCATGGGTTGACGACTGTTGGGAGGTCTTCTGCTTGGGGTCCCTTGATGGCTCTTCACCTACCGCTTAGGCCATGGTTGTCAAGTAGCAAGTGACTTCTTGGACTCACTCTCTCTGTTCTTTCGTCTTCCTTTCTTGTGTCGTTTGATAGAATTCCAACAGGCACGATTGAGGTTTAGGTCCTGCTGGTTTTTTAGGTTCAGAAAGGGGTGGGTGTCAAAAGTCAAGAGTAGGGATGGCCATTAGATCCACTAGGCCTCACACCTTCATGCTTCGTTGCAGTAGGCCGATTGCTGCTTGACCGAGGTGGGGAGGAAGGATGATGATATCAATTTCCGAAGTCTTCATTTAGAATGAGGCCATGCCTTCTTCTCATCCTCGGTAATTCTGCAGCAACAACAGCCACCACAAACCCTGAAATGTCAGCTCACTGTCGTATGGGATCCAACAGTGACATGTTTGGTGTCATCTACTCGGAGCTACTAGCCAGTGAATAAGATCTATCAATACATTATGGGAAGATAGAAGAAGACTATAAGAAAAGAGATCATAGAAATTGTGAGCTCAGAATGGAAAGTGGATTCCTTTTATGATTGAGGAATGGAGTATATTTTTCCAATCCCCCTTGACATAGTGATCAGGTTTCAAAAGGCATGAGTGGGGATAAAGATGCTAAAATGACTCCAATACAATCTCTCTCTCTCTCTGTGATTGTTGGTGTTGAAGCTGTAGCAGAAAGGTATGGGCAAGGAGAAGAAGACTGTGGAATGCAGATTCCATGTAATAATCTGTGGGGGATTGAGAAAGGGAGACGACTCAGTGACTCTCCCTTTCTGCACTAAATGACATCCAGGGGGACAAAATAAAGCCTCACACGTTGCCAGCGACGTGTTCGAGTGTCACATGCATTGATGTGGACGACCAATCGAGTTCCATGATACCATTCATCAACAGCACCATTAATGCAGTGCATTGAAACGCCTATCGCTCTTATGTATGTTCGTCTCTTGTAGATGCCGCCTGTGCAACCAATGCAGTTGTATTCAGAAGCTTCGGTCTTCAACAACATTGCTTTGGTTCCGCGGAGAGGAAGAAGAAGAAGAAGATAAAAGTTGTTCCTCCTCCTTCCTCCAGAAAACAATATTGTAGGGCTCTCGTCCTCTTCTTGGGGCCTGTAAGGCTTTGTTTCGTGGTGTCTATGGCCTTGTCTTCTTCCAACTTTCTTCACGAGTCCGATCTCTGAAATCTTTAGGCCGTCCCTTTTGCACTGTGACAGATCGACGTGGGATGCCAATGCTCGTACAGAAGTGGAAGAACATTTCGTGTGGCCAACAACAAAAGCATGCTTCGACATGCCATGAGGAAGCGAAGCATCAACCATTTGCTTCGGTGGAGCATCTTATCGGTTACTGTATGCATAGGTCGCGATGGGTAATGCATTTATATTTTTAATGTACGTCGTTGTAATGGTTGAATGTTTCGAATGTTTCGAGTGTACATCTCCGCACCATCCACGTGGTATCACACGGCCTCGCACTGTTAACACCTCAGACTCGAATGCAGCAATCAAACGCTCTCGTACTGTTCGGCGTCGAACAGAGCCGTTTCAAAAAGCTCAAGGTAGCACCACACGATCATTCCGAAAAGTTCGGAATGATGTCACATTGTGCAAGTCCATATAAGTCGATTAGTGCTCATCCGTAGGGTACAGACCATCCTTCAGAGGAGTTGACAATCATTAAAGGACTATGTATGATCGGCCTTCCTACACAAGTATAAAAGTTAACCCCTAACCAGCATCAAAGGACATTCAACTCATTCTTATTCCACTCAACTCTATCTTAATTTTTGGAGGGGTTAAGTCGAAAAATCCTTCTCCCAACCTCGACTTGAATGCAGGAGCCGACGATGAAAAAGTGGGCGATGAGGCCCCCAACTCAACTCGACCCAATGCTCACTTTCGCCGCTCGAGTCTTCACGTGTGCAATTTTGCTCATCCGAATAGTGTTGACACCTCGACCACAGTATAAAGATTCACAAATACAAATTATATTTTATAATATAGTGTTAAATGTTGGACATTAACATAGTGGTGTTTGATAAAATTATATTTTAAAATTTTATTTAATATTATGTGATAAATTTAATCTTATATTTTTTATTTATAAAATGTATTTATATTTATTTAAACATATATATATATATACTCTCTCCTCTGCTTACGTCATTATCTCTCTTTCCTCTCCTCTTCCCTCCAAGTGTATTCAAACATTTGGGCCGTCCCATCTCGACAACACCAACTCCTCGAATGCCCCCCGACGCTACGCATCGCCGGGAACAATTCTCAGCCCCACCCTCCCCATTCTCGGGTTTCTCTTCTTGATCATTCTCCCTATTTTTGCACCAAAAAGAGGGAGGCCATCCCACTCTGATCGGTGCGTCGTGTTGGATTTTCGAGGAAATGGTTTTATTTCTTGGAGAGATTGAATCTTGGATTTGGGGATTTGGTGTTGTGTTCTCTCCCACCATCGTAACTCTAGGGTTTCTCTGACCGATCTTTTCTTCTCTCCATCTTGTTCATTGGATGTTAAATTCAATGAATGAATGGTTCTTGATTCGTGTTTGCTTTTCTTGGATCGGATGAGTGATGGGTTTTCTTTGTGCGGTTGAAGATGGAGGAAACCTTCTTGCTGGGCCGAGTGAATCGCCGGTCAGGAGGGGAACCGGGTTTAAGGTGGTGATTTCCGGCGCTGCTGAGAAGATCGGCAAGAGAATTTTTATGCCGATGATCCTGGTGCCACCGCAGATATCGGCCGCCTGAATACCGGCTGCGTGGTAGTCCTCCGGATGCTTTTCACCTTATTTTGTATGTATTATAGGCATTTGGGTTCATGATGTTCTGATTGATGCATGTAATCGAATTCCTCATGTAAATAAATCAGATTTAGCTGCACTTCTATCTGTTGTTTTAGTATTTATTACCTTTGGATTGCTTCGGAAGAAATTAGACACACTAATATAGGTCTCATTTGGAATCTTTGGATGCACTTACAGGAATGGGCCTTGTCATTACCCCTCCCTGTCATTCCTTGGAAGACAGGGATAACCATGGATGATTTGTTTGACATCAATGCTGTAATTGTTCAGGCATTTTGTGATGGAAATGCTAAACGCTGTCTGAAGGCAAAGGTTAACCTGGTTGCCGATTCACCAAACTCTGCTGTTCCTATACGACCTGAGGATTATAAGACAGCTGGTACGTATGATTCCAAGCATCTTTTGGGAGTAATAACGATGGATGTAGAGATAGCCAATACTTTTGAGGGCATTATCAAGTTTATTGTATTCATATGTCCGTCGGCATCTATTTTTGCATTACCTTGTGAATTCTGAATATTGTCATGGCTTTAAAAGTTGCAGACCGATTACAGAAGTTTTTTTTCTTATTTTACATTTCAGGTTAATGTAACATTGCAATTTGGTCCAGTTATAGTGCTTAACTATTGCATAATTAATTCGTCAGACATGACACTATAACTGCAATTTGGTCCAGTGGTAGTGTCATCTTGATGAATTAATTATGCAATATGAGAGCAACTGAATTCATTAGCTTAATACCAGTCATTTCTCATTAATGTATTAACGTTCCTATGATCGGTGGTCATGCAGGAGCTTCTAAATTTGCCTTCATATCGCAGGTCAACAAAACTTTTCTG